TACAGCTAAGTCTGCAGCCAAATCTTATTTTGTTTCAAAAGGAATAGAAACAAGGCGAATGAGCCAATACAAAGTAGAATTGACCCTCTGTCTTGTTTGTATGTCAAACCCCTAATGACTGTAACAACAGTTATTGGCAAGATAATTAATAAACCATATTTATAATAAATTCTCCACAAATCCCGACAACTCTTTTAACAGAAGCACATCTATTGCATTAACTCTATGACATTCCCTAAGAAAGCTGCAGTCAGATATATGTAAAATGACTTGCACCATACATGTATTTTATCCTGCATCCCAATAAACCTACAATAGACCATCCATTTCTCTCCGTTTACTGAATGCAACAAATGAATCATCTCTCTTGATATTTCACATGACAAATGCAAAGGTTTTAAGTGAGTTACTATGAGGCAATCATCTAATCTAAGATTAAAGCTTTAGCTCAATCTTGAGGGGTGATAGATGGTAGAAAAGCTCAATAATTAGCCATTTTCAAAAAATTCAAATAATACGAATACTTAAAGTTCTTTTAAAATACATCCTATTTTTATTTTGACTTTCCCTTGTGCGTATTTCGAAGGTCAATGTCAACAGTAATGCAGAAGACTTGAAGTGTACTTGCGTCACTTTAGCGTTTTCTAATGTTAAAATCTGTTCTCGTTCTTATTTGTTCGTTCCGTATCATTATGACGCTAGAAAGACATTACCCTAATACGTTTCTAACATTTGATTAATTGTAAATTAGTACACGCTACACTATTCTTTACACTTACTGTAAGAAACATCGGCCTCGTTCTTGTCCGCCATGTTGCCTTTCTTCTCGACCCAGTCTCACCTTATTCACGATTGTTCATGTATCTTGTGCGAAGTGTCTCGTCTGCCTTGATTACCTAAGAAAAACATTCGCCCCGCGCCCGCAAGTTACCTCAGAAAAAGCCCCCCCTCCCCCCGCCAACCCCTCATATCCCTGCCCATTTATTAGGCAATGTAAGAGAATTGAATCTAACAAAATTCAAAGTGGCGTGAGCTTGTAAGCAGCGTACAAGTTTGTGGAAAACATCATAGACAAATGCATGGAAATTAATAAACGCAACCAGGAGCCATAATGACGCAACCTATGTAACGCTTTCTAACACAGCTACATCCTTCAAATTTGGTTCATGCAATCCTCTGTTTAGAATTTTTAGTTTGCTATCAATAAATTGTTCAGAATTCAATATACTGTGAATTTTTACCCACCAGTCAAGATGCCCTCCAAAACCGTGACAAGGATTGTTATTATTATACATTGAACTCACTATCTCTTTTCTGATTGGCCGAAAGCGTTTACTGAATTTTCGAAATCAGCGCTTATGACGTCATTTAGTTAGTCATGTCATGCATGACCGCGGTGCACGATTTCTACGGGTAGTCATGTCATGTTCGCGCGCTTTGTGTCGCTTGCCGTCAGTGAAGAAGCAAAAACATGACTTCCATTTTTTTTCGTTCAATGTATAATAAATCAATTATTAGATTCGGTTTTTGTGATATCCAGAATAACCGTCTCGGTAAGGGTTATCAGCCGAAGCCGAAGGCTGACGCCGATAACCCGTACCTCGACCTTGATTATTCTGGATATCACAAAAACCTTATCCAATAATTGTTTAGTATTGTGGGGTCTGTCATGGAGTTACTCAGTTAAACGCGTTGAAGACTACCATGGAGTAGTGTATCTCTTCCTCTTGTGTTCGGTAGGGTTCTCAGTTTATATGCCATTCCATGCTCAGTTGTTGCAGCTCTGATGAACCTTGCCGGACGGTTTCGTGATACAAGAGTTCAAGTGAAACGGAAAGAATCGCAACAAAATACGGTACCGGAGAAACCTCACCTTAGCTTAGCCTAAAGTCGACGAAAACCGATGATTATTTTTAAATGTGCCGGTTATCCAAAAATTATCATCTTACATTACTGATGTTACAAGTGAAGAGTGATAGCTTTGGACTGGCTTTGGGGTACCCATGAGACAATCGGTAAAAGTTAGAAAAGCCTGCGTAACTAATCCCGGAGTACTGAATTCTCTTGTTATGTCCTGTGAAGGGGAAGAAAAACTTCTGATATTCTACTATCTTGTTCGGTTACGTTACGTTACATTACATAACGGGTTAAGACCTGTCATAAGATAAGCCTTAATTGTGCTAAATCGGCAATTCCCCCTCCCTCCCCCTCTTGTCACAATATTCAGTACGGTTTGCTTTGCCAAGCTCTCTGTGTTGGCCGAAATGTTCAAACCGGGTTACTAGTAACAGGTACTGAAACAGACAAGTCAGTCCAGGTGTGCCTTGATCGGGCTGTTAGCACGGGAAACTTTTGACAGAAGTGTGAGGTGTGGAAATACGTACATTGTAGGATTGCTTTATGAACGCAGAGCCTTAAGGACAATGAGAACTTTCTTGAAAAAAAAGTAAGACAAGTAATAAGAGACAACAAAGTCAAAAGTAGAAATTTTCTCAACATCACTTACAACTTCAAAAAATACCATTTTTACATAAATCAACACAAACGAATTCTGAGGCTTACATCTCGGAATGGTTCAACGCGAGTTTACTGGGGACGAGAGAAATCATCCTTTAAACTGTCTCCTAGTCCCCTCACAAACATTAGCTCTTCTGAGGGAAGTGGCGTAGAAGGTTCACTACGTAAGCTGTTGAAATATTTCCCCTTTGCAAAACAATACAGAAAGGACTTTTTTTACAAAAAAAATGGGTAATATTGTATTGCAGCTCCTTGAGTATTCCGTGTTCGGCATCGTCGGAGAGCCTGGTACCACTTATCGACATAATAGAAAGTGAAAAGGTTAAAATACTGAAGACGAAAGTTAACAAGGAAAGCAAACGAGACAGTCCTGAGCGCAAGAATGCGCAATGGTTTCTGCGCAATTCACAATTATTTATAGCAGCTTCTGTTTGATCGCCTACACATGTCGTCTGTCACTAAAGAAACTGCATGTACAATTCTTTGATCTTCTCGTTTTTGAACCTTGGTATAAAGTTCACTTTCACAATCTCTTCAAAGCCTTCACGACAACTTGGTTCTTCATACGCAGATCTGCAAAATACATGTGTAAAACAAAAATAATTCATTGACAGAAGGCAAAAAGACGTCCCACTATTAGAGAGTTTAAGCATGACGTTTACGGCAGACGGCAAACGGCAAAGATTACCTCTGATTTTTTTTTCTTTTCTTGTAATTCTTAGAAAAAGGTCTTCTACTATTCACCGCAAATACAAATATTTTCAATCTACTGTACAGACAGCTGAAGACCGACGGCATAAGTTTCATTTTTGCCGTTTGCCGTTTGACGTAACGTCATCTATTAATACAGCATCGTGTACGGTGAGACTCTTTTCTGAGACTAAATACTCCGACGACCACACCCTATCTAGTCGCGTTTATATTTTTGCTGCAAGTTATTTTTCTTCGGGCACGCAAGAACGGCTGCGATTTGTCTTTCGCCAGGGCCAACCCCTTGGGTTCGAGCTTTTTCAAATCCCCTCCGGTTAAAACCGACTTTCTCTTACGATCAGGGTGTAGTCTGTGGACAGACTGCACCCTGTCCAGCGACTCGCCCCAGTTGAGGCCAAACCCCTCACACACCCATTTTAGAAAATACACATGACGAGCGCTCGCGTTTGTTCATCAGGTAACCTCAATGAAATGAACTCCAAATCGATAGAAGTTCTGGTTTCCTGATCATTCTTGTAGGTTTCTGACGTAGTGCTATCAATCTCACGCAAAGCAGCGCATGACAGACATTTTTTTCCCAACAGGAATTGTTCCTAAGACCTTTTGCACAAGACGCTGTACCGAATCTTATTTTTTTTTCAAGTACCTTGCGTCACTGACTAACATTTTTCTCATATCGTTCTTATCACATTCGGCCATGTCTTTCCTGACTTACTTGTACTTCACAAAAGCTAAATGTCCAACGTGTTTGTATGAATTGTCCTTATTCGTCATTTCGCGAATCTGCAAAAGATTAAAATCTGATGAGACAGACACGCACACAGCTTTCCAAGGGCTACAATTCAGTATTGCGAGACACTAAGCTTGGGAGGCGCAAGGAAAATAAGGATTTGCTAAGAGTTACCAAACTTCTTGATTTGCTGTGGCTCAGGTGCTAATACACATAAAGGCAAACTTGCCTTATTGTTATGTAGAGCGTGTTCATAGGACACATCAAACACAAAACATCGAGCAGGAATCTTGGCTTGCTTTGCACAATCCACGTATCTGAGAACAACAACGAGAGAGACATGTTAATTTCGATAGTGAGATATTCGAGCGCAATCCAACAAGGAAAAGGCTGGGAGACCAGAAAGTTTGTGTGAACTTGGGCCAAACGAGAAGAGCAAATGCAAGGATTTCCAGTTTGCTTGGTCCAATGAACGCCGGGTGAAAGAAGAGCGAGGATGACATCATCACAAACTGGCTTCCAATAAGAACACTCGTTATATCGTTACCTCTTTCTCACTTCCGTTGTCGGACTCGTGTTGTCAATCACAACGCTC